ACGTCATCCCAACCCCACTGTCAGATTTCTGAAAAGCAGGTTATGGCCAACCCAATCCCAACTGCGCGGTGGGCCTGTCGCGCAGGAATGAAAATAATTGACCTGTGGTGTAAGGCTTTCATGCATTTTGAATATGCATGGAGCACTTGTTCCCAGGATTAGTGAGATCTAGATTTAGAACCAAGTAGCTCCAAATGGAGATCCAGTTCTAATCTGGACCAGTGTGGTTGCAAGCCTAGACTAAGTGCCTTAGTCTGCACTAAGTTAACGACTGATGTGGATGCTCTTAGAGCAACCACATCTGTGGCTGGATTAAGGCAGGATTAGTGTAACTACTCCGAGCTAGTCCGAGCCTTCAGCCGTATCAGTCCGATTTAATCGTACTAAACTAATCCTGGAGTAGGATTTGAGCTAAGCAAGAGTAAAGTTACTCCTTGCTAATCCTGGGATTAAGAGCCAATCGGCACACTCAACATGCACGCAACCCCGGCTACTCCCAGGTTTACACCACACTGATGTGGTTGCCCACCCGGAGTAGCACTAATCTGGGATTAAGCTACTCCGTTAATCCAAAACTTACACCAGCACCGATGCGGTTGCTCTTATGGATTAGGGTTTTGGGAGGTTAGGGCTGTTTTTTTTTTTCAAAAAAGGGCATAAACTTTTTCTTTTTAGTTTATTTATAGCCAGCTCACACCCAGCTCACCCAGCTCAGCCTCACCTTTGGCTTCAAACTGAAGATAATGACACCATTATTTTTGGTTTGTTACCAAATGTTTCAATTTAAAAAAACTCACTTCTCTGTAATACTTAAGGGGGCAACTCTTTCTGACTCCTGAGAGATTCACCCCCAGAAATTACCATAAAAACCTACCAAAACTACCTATTATAATAGTATAATAAGTTAGTGGGGTTTTAAATAGTTGCACCTTGGTACCTGCCTGCAGCTTTTAGCCAAAGTGGGCACCTGCACCTGAACCCACATCCACTGGAAGGTACCTGTTCACCCTGGAAGGTACCAGCTGGAAGGTTGCAGGTACCCACTAAAAATTAAAAAAGAACTCTAAAAGGCTTTTTCAAACATAATTTATACGTTTAATTCCACCCAACTTGGACACCTACCACCTACCAGTGGGTACTAGGACATGTCTGTGGGTACCTGAAAATGGGTTCCAGGTACCTTCCAATGGGTGCCACGTACCTGCAAATTGGTGTTAAAGGCTTGAATAGACTATTAACTTTCTTCCTCCTCAGCTCTTCACCTAATCTTGGGGCAGTGACACTCATACTGCTGACATCCTTTATATTCATGATGATAAAGCCCTTCCACCTATAGCGTTAATATGAGGTTCTTTTCCAATAAATGACTCTGCAGTTGTAGTGAAACCCAAAACTCCATAAGGATTGAGTCTGAGTGACATAAGATACCAGCACTGGCATCATCAGATTTTCAGTCCGGTGAGTCACAAACTGTACCTCCCGGAGAGTAGGGATTCCTTGGTGAAGTTCAGGGAAAAGCTTTCAAGATGGTGAGTCAAATGGGAGTAATGAATCCCAAAAAAACCAAGACCCCAAAACAGTTAGAGCGGGTGGTGGTGGATGACGAGCTGACCAAGGGAGTGGTTGCGTATTTTGTCCAGGGGTGATGGCTTGTTTACCACACGCATGCCCCACAACGGCTATGTACATACGCCATCACACGGCGCCCCCAAACCCAATACTCCCGACACCTGCTGCTCCGGCGCAGCTACTTCCAAATCTCGCCGTAACCTAACCCAGGTACCCGCCACCCAACCGGTGTTCTTCAACCGCTCCCTTGGTCAGATCGTCATCCACCACCACCCGCTCTAACTTTTTTCCCCCATTTCAAGATGGTGAGTCAAATGGGAGTAATGAATCCCCAAAAAACCAAGACCCCAAAACTTGAATTGGGTCCTGCTCTGAGGACCACCCACTTGGAGCATCTCCAACGGACCCATGATTGGGTGTCTGGGGGAAAACTTTGGCAAGCCGGGTGTCAGTTTTCCGCTCCAACAGACCTGTGAAATTACCCTGGAAATATTACCGGGGAGGTCCCCTGCTGAATTCTGCCAGTCACCTCCCAGCCGCAACTGGTCACTTCCTCCATACAACACAGGCCATCCTCTACAACACAACATGTCACACAATAAGACCACTCAACAAGAAAACATACAAACAAAAAGACCTGATGCCCCTTCTTCAAACCAGACTACTAGCTCTCCAATAAAAACAAACTGCTGAAAACCCCAATCTTCCAGCAATATCACACTTTTGTACAAAGTAATGGTCTTTGATGTCTTTGACTATTTGGAGAAAGAGAAGCTTGCACATCCTAAAATGGCAACAGAATATTCCAGGGGAATACATGGCATCCTTGTTGAAATAGTCCTTTCATAACTATTTGTGGCCTTTGATTTGGTTGTGATGGATTTCTCTTCTTCCAGGAGTTGTACCACTGTGTTTTTTTTCTCCTTTCTCTTGAGTATGACGGAAAGTGTTCCTTGTAGCAATTCAAGGACATTGTTGTTGTCAACCATCCACTTTGAGATTTTGTCTAGTTCCATGTTGTATGTGATATGAAAATGAGGTTGCGGCCTGCAGAATGCAGGCAAATTGTCCCCCTGGCCACTGGAGATGCTCTTAAAACATCCCAGAGTGGTTGCACTGATGTCCTTCAGGTTTGGGAGCTGTTTATGCAAGTTCCCTTTTTCAGATCTATATATAACTAAAGAAAATAGGCTTAGAGAACCAAACAAACTGTCATGCAATCTAATTCCGACATTGACCTCCAATTCATATTCTTCAACACCAATGTTAGACTGAGACAGACAGGTGTGCAACTCAAGAAAACCCCAAAAGGTTATTGAGTAAAACCGAGTAAAAAACAGTTGGGGCAAATCAAATGACCAACCAAAACTTCCCAAAAACGGGGGCATGTACTAGTATCTAAATAAATAACAATATGTTTACTGGATTACTTCCAGTCAACATCTGTGGGTCTCCCAGTTTCCATTTAGAGCCGAAAAAGCTAGATTTCCCTGCAAAAATCTAGACTTTTTGGGTCTAAATCAAAAACTGCAAGGGTCCCAGATCTGACAGGAAGTCCTCCACTTTCAAGTATTTTCTCTTTTCAAACCATCCATTGAGTTATAAGGGCTCAGCCTTTCTGGGAGTTTTCATGAATTAATCTTTCTGTTTGAATTGTTTCAAGAAAGAAAAAAATGAATGAATGAGGTCTAAGTATGAGGACAAAAAAAATCCCAGATAGCAGGAAAACTCAACAGTTGAAGGGGGTTGTGGAACAAAAGGACTCAGAAAACTGGTGGGTTTTTGGTTGATCAGTGTTCCATTAGGGACTTGTGGGGACACGGGGAAGAGCCGACTGCAAGATGCCTACACCCGGAGGACCGCTGCGCTCCGGGTGGGGCCGTAACCGCAGCCGCACAGATCTCATTGCTTTTCTTAAGTGCTCACAAGTTTGGTACCCCTCTAATAGAGGGGGTACCTAGGGAAGCCCGGAGACCAGGGAGTGGTCTCCCAAGCTTCCCGTGTGTGGGTCGGTGGGGAGCGGGTCTTGGAGGGCGAGACCCGTTGCTTAGCGGGACATCACTGGAATCTTAGTGGGTCCTTGCCGCCGGCCGCTGTAGTATGCCAATTGTGTTTCAAGTATCAAATTGCATAAAGTCACAGTCCAATATGTAGAAGGGCATATATTCTTAGGCGTATTATGGCATAATCACATTCTACGGGTCATTTAACCCATAGTCACTCACTGGAACCACTAGGCTAGCTCCACTCTTTCAAAAGTTATTTGGGATTTAAGTTTTATTGGCATACAAAAATGCTTATTGCATAATGCAAAACCACAAGTCGGCCTTAGTTTGTTTACATATTCAATATTCATTGCATAGGGTAACCACAAGTTGGCCACATTGTTTGTAGGTACACAGAGAATTTTGTATAGATAGCAAAACCACAATTTGGCCGGATTTTATGCATATTTGTTATAGGTTAGGGTTAGAACCACAAGCTGGCCATTTATAAATTATAGTTTATAGGTTAGGGCTAGAACCACAAGTTGGCCATTTATAGATTATAGGTTAGGGCTAGAACCACAAGTCAGCCGGGTTGTAAAATAGACTATTTAAGGAGGGGCTTTCCCCCCTCATTCCAATATCTCATCTCATCATCTCATCACAACAGATCATCTCATCTGATCATCAACCAGACAGAGCAGAGCAATCAATCCATACATTAACCCGTGTGATCTTAATCAAGTGCCCCATTGAGATCATTCAGACTTTGAGAATAATAGCAAAAGGAAAGTAAATAACAGGATCTTAAAAACAAGAGACAGTGATCTTAAACCATTGTGCTCCCAACCAAGGTTAAGGAAGAAGGAAAAAATGGATAAACACATTTTTTTCAGTAGTATCTCATAAATTATCATTCATTATCAGTACATACGTCAATCATTTTTCAAAAATACATAAACATATAAACAAAAACACCTCTTACTCAACAATTCCACTCCAATAGTCTGCTGAATTCCCGTTGATCTAGGTTTGATAAGAGACTGCTACACATAGTTTTCTCTATCATCAGTTTTGCCACAACAATAAAAATAAATTGTTGTGTTAACTCTTGTGTAGTACAATAGATGGGCAGGTCTTTCAAACCAGCCGTAACAGTTGTAGTAGATCATTACATACGTGATATATCTCATCTGCTATTTCCCCCTCACAGGACTGCCACCATTCCCAAAGGAGTTCTCACATCTGGTGTCCCAACAGTGGCCTAAAATAACCTTCAGAAGATCAACAGTAAATCTCCCTCAGCAACAGAAGACTAAATTAAAGTGGAGGATCAGGGATCAACAGAGAGGGAAGCAATAACTGCCGTCTTCAAGAAGTTCTTTCCAGAACTTAAGCTAGAGTCAAGAATGTCTACCCCGGATGAATCCAGTATGGAGCAATCCGCAATCATCTTGAAACAGCAAGCTCAGATATCAAAAATGGAAGAGATGATGCAGGGTCTACAAGACACGGTCAACTTGTTACTTAAGCAGAATACGCCGCAGCAAGTGCCAATACCATAAACACCACCAGTACGGGAATCAAGACTAAGATTTGCTACATCAACACCCTTTGATTATAGAACGCAAGGATTGGATACAACCATTGGAGCCGGAGATGATTCATTTTTAAACTCAGAAGTGGCTTCACCATCTAGCCAAGGAAGACCTAAGACTAGTATAAAGTTACCAGATGAGCAAAAGGGAGTGATGTTAGATGCTAAAAAGACAAACCTTCATTTTGATGGGACCGAAGTAGAAGTATTCATCAGAAGAGTAGAAAAGGTAGCCTTTATACAGAATGCGGGAACAGTGGATCTAGCATTCCAACTACCCCTCATCATCAACAACAAGAAATCAGTGAGGCTATAGAACAGATGGAGGGGCATGAAACGGGAGACTGGGAACTATTGAAGAAAGAATTGACCCGCAAGTGGGGACGAGCCACACCATTCAGAAAGTATAGAGAAGATGCCATACCTCGATTAGTTCAGAAGGCTCAAGAAGGTCAGGGCATAAAAACCAGGCTGGAATACAGGAAATTTGTAGGAGAACTGGAAGAAATGACCGACTACTTCACACGGATGGGTTATAGCCACCTAAACCCCGATAGCGGGAATCCCCTTTGGAGTGCTTTGTCCGCAGAACTCAAGAAGGAAGTGACCAAGGAACTAGCTCATGCCAAAAAGCTCAAAAAGACTAAAGATGGCAGGAATATAATCCCGGAACTAGATATCCTCAAGGAATATGTAGAATTAGCCCTCATCATTATTTATTTTGACGAAGATGAGCCACAAACCACTTCATCAGACTCTACCAAAAAGAAGGTTAAAATACAAGATCCTTCAGAAACAGAAGAGTTAAAGGAGACAATAAAGAAGCTCAACAATTCCCTGGAGTATCAAGCAAGAGCGGCACCCCCACATTTGAATAGGCCTTCTTCCCCGGGTTTTGGGGATACTAGACCACACTTTACAGCGGTGGAATGCTTTTATTGCAAAGAGAAACACATGTTATCCCAATGCGAAGCCTATACTCAAGACATGCAGGATAGACGGATGTTCAGATATCAAGGCGTGTATTACTACCCAAACAGACAGCCAATTGTGGTAGATAAGGACTGTTCCGTGAAGGAGATGGTCACAAGGTTCCACGATGAGCAAAGCAACAGCCGCACCGAGAATACTGCAGTACAAGAGTCCACGTCAGCAGTAATAGAAGTAGAAGAATGGGGATCATGGCTTCCACCGCAGGCTAATATCAGCGAAGAAGAACTTCAGAACAATATTGGTTTTGGACTCAGAAAGTCACAAAGAATACAAGACAAGAATCCGCAAGCAAGCAGTCAGCCCATGCCAGTTAAAACACAGGAATCTGTCAGCAAAACCCCACCACCAAATCAAGAGGCCATTAAACCTCCCACTAGAAGAAAAAGCTTCCCCGGATCATGGTTGGAAGAGGAAGAACTAGAAGAAGAGGAGAGTAGTAAACAAAAGTCCACCGGACCATCCCGTGAAAACCCCAAGCAGAGTAGAGAGGAATTGCGAGCAAAGGAAATCACAATTGAGCCTTTGGATAAATCTATTAGAAACAAATTTTTTAAACAAACTTATACACTCACTTTAGAAGAAATTGTAAAAATTGCACCACAGTTTCTCCAAGGTCTACAGGAGTCACGACCAGAATATGATGTGTCAGAGAAGAAAGCCAACAACGTAGAACTACACTGCTCCACCGGACTAGGAACCTCTGAGAATGAAGAAGAACGAGGCCTTACATATGCATGTCCTGTTGGAATGGTGGATATGACAATTAACAAAAGGAAAATACGTACTCTAGTGGACACGGGCGCCGAAATGAACATTATTCCTGACACATTGGCAGATCAGCTTGGACTAGTAACTACAGAGATATTCATGAGGCTTAAAGGGATCGGAGGGCATGTCACCCCAATTGTGGGATTAGCTGAGAATATTCCGGTCAACGTGTTACCAGGCTATATGCACTTAGCAAACTTTTTTGTTGTCAGAGGATCAGTGCATACAGTGTTGGGCTGTCCTTTTTAGCGGATCATAATATCAGGTTAGAATTATCCCATCAAAAAGGAGAAGTACTGAGTTTTCCGGATTCAGCCAGGAGAAGAGTCTGTATACCCATCTGTCTACCAGATTCACCAGGTTGGCATAAAGAGCCTCCAGCACTCAGACAGAACTGCTCCTTTCAAGTAGTCGACTGGAATCTTTTTGATCAAATAGACACCGTTGGACCACAGGACAAAAATACCACAGTAATTGAGTGGGATCAATTAGAAGGATTGGAAGAAACTCTATTCAGTAGTGTGGTAGTAAAATCAGAGAACTCACAAAGTAAGGAAGACAACTTTCTAGGGAGCTATTTGTATGGGTTTCAAACACAAGATGAGCTATGGGAAGACGACCCATGGAACATGCACCGGCTAGAAGCTGTAGACTGGGAAAAAGAATTGGGAGCTGCTACTCTCACGCCGGAAGAACAGAAACAAACCGATAAGCAGCTGGCGGACGCGGAGGCAGCGTGGGCGGCAGAACCCATTGATGTTGGTACAGGTCGTGAATGGTTTTGGGTGGATTATCTCCCCTACAGATTCAAAGACGTATTCGACGGAGCTCACATACCCAAGAAGAAGAGAAACACACAAGACTGGCTTGAAGAGTTACCCGGAGGGTTCTCGGACTCATTAGACTTTTTACAAATTTTGGACACAAGAGGGGGAAAAGCCTTTGTTGAAGAGGGATCCTGGGCCTCGCGGTTTGGAGTCATCAGCAAAAGGCTGAGGATGAGCTTGTATTTTGGGGGAGGGAAACTTTGGTATAGCATTCAAGTGGCTAGGCCCAGAGAGAAAAACCAGAGAAAAAAGTCCAAGAAGGTACACCGTTACATAGGTAATCTGTACTTAAGTAAACTAAATCAATAAGTTTACAATTTCCTCATATAAAAAAAAAAAGAGAGACAAGACAGGGACAGAGAGGCAGGTTTTTTGTACTTTGTATTTTTATAAAAAAAAAAAACAGGGAGGCAAGATTTGGATGAGAGAAAAGTTTTTTTTAGTTTTTTTCTTTTAAGAAGATAAATAAAGAGCTACAAATACAAGAGGCCAAAAAGAAGGCAAGAGAAAAGAGAAGAGGGCTAGTACTGATCAAACTGTAACTGATGGTCTGCCACATCAGTGGAAAAACAGCATGTTTGTACATTAGTATACACGAGCTATGCAATGATTGTAAAAAAAAAAAAAGAGAAACTTACTATAAGTGATGCGACCGGATGTACCAGTCTTGTGCAGCAACCACTGCATGGTTAAGTAACTTAAAGCTTTCATGATTATCAGGGGAAGGGGTGAAGCTGGAAAGAAAGGGCACAATGACCCGGAGGAGATCAACAAAAGAGGTTCGGAATTGAAGACGAGGATCATCAGGACGCATATGTATAAACGGGGTAGGAGGAATGAAGGGATTAGTCCCCAAAACGGAAGGGCCAGCAAGAGAGAAGTGAGCCGCAAACGGGTCAGGAAGATGAAAAGATAAAGGAAAAGCTTCATCGGGGGACATTAATACGGTATTGAGGAAAGTGTTCAGGGCCGTTTCGGTTAGGTGAGGATGACCGGAATCCACCACAGCTCGGGGAAGAGAAGTGGAAGATGACGATGACTGGGGGGGCTGGTCATCGACGCTAGCGGCCTTCAGCTTGCCTAAATCTACAAAGGAACAAAACAGGATATGTAGAGTTAGAATATGATCAGCTAGCCATAAGATAGAGAGTACCAGATGGCTTACTTTTAGATCGGAGGGGTACAAAATGACCTTTTGAGTCTCTCGGGAAAACGAAGGCAGGATTTTGCTTGGCTAAAAAGGATCCAGAAAAGCGGGTTTTACCGGAGTAGGCCTTTTTGCTCTTCTTAGGGGGGACATAAGTAGTATCCTTTGGATCCTCATCGGGATCAAGCAAGGAAAAGACAGAGTCTGAGGAGAGAGAGCAAGACAAGGACAATGGATGGGGTTTGAGTTTGCTAAAGGGAGCAAGAAGGACTAGTCAGATTACCCATACCTATATCATCTCGGTCATCGGTGTTGGATGGGACCTGTAAGCTAGGGTCTATGAGGAATACCGTGCTTTCATTCGGGTCAGGGGACCCGACAGCCTCTGCAACATCTAAAGGTTGATAGTCGGGATCAACACCTGGG